GACGGAGTGTCATATCGTGAGTGCCGGGGACAGCTGGAGCACGCGGACGACGAACACGAGGAACACGAGCACGGACAGCAGCTCTAGGCTCAGGCTCAAGGTCAAAGCTAGACTCAGGCTCTCGACGCTCAGGGGTGGAAGCACGAGTCTCAGGCTCTCGACGCTCAGTCAGGGACTCTGACACCGCAGTGTAAGGAGCAGGAGCAGGCAGTGGGGAGTGTGGTAGCAGCGGTGGCTGTGACTGGTCCGCTGGCGGACACAGCGACGGAGGAGCAGTACCTGCCACAGGGAAGCCAGTAGCACCTGGCAGAAGACTGAGAAGGTGGCAAAGAGCACCAGTAGCTCCTGTACCTCCAGCACGAGTAGCTCCTCCAGTACCCCCAGCAACACCTCCAGCACCAGTAGCACCAGCACCTCCAGCACCACGAGCTCCGACAGCGCCATCACCTCGAGCACCAGTAGTACCTCCAGCACCTCCAGTACCTCCAGCTCCAACGCCTCCAGCACCTGCAGTACCAGCACCTCCAGCACCGACAGCAGCTCCAGTACCTCCTGCACCAGCAGCGCCTCTAGTACCTCTAGTAGGAACCCCAGGCCTAGTAGCTCCAGTACCTCTAGCTCCAGAACCTCCAGAAGGACTCGCAGCACCTCCAGAGTCAGCACCCGAAGTCTCAGCACCCCCAGAGTCAGCACCCAAAGTCTTAGTACCCTCAGTCCCAGGACCCTCAGGCTCAGCACACTCAGTCTTAGCACCCTCAGTCTCAGCACCCTCAGGCTCAGTACCCTCAGTTCCAGCACCCTCAGTCCCAGCACCCTCAGTCTCTGCTCCAGTGTCCACAGCAGTAGGCTGCAGAGGCAGCGAAGACGGCAGAGGTGGGAACCCGGGGGGGGTAGCCAGACGAGGAGAGCGGGCACCCCCAGACTCACCACCCCCAGCCCCAGCTCCAGTAGTCTCAGCTCCAGAGTCCACAGAAGCAGGCTGTGGAGGCGGCGAAGACGGCCGTGGCGGGAAGCCCGGGGGGGTCGCCAAGCGAGGAGTGTGGCGAGTGGTCGCCGTGTCGTCGGCGACGGCGTCACCCCCCTCAGGTGAGTCAGAGGAGTCAGAAGAGATCTCAACTGGCTCATCCAAGGGGGGTGGGTCTACCTGGGACAGACCAGAGGGAGCAGGACCCTGTGCGGGGAGGGGGTCTACCGGGGGGGGGGACTGGTACCAGGAAGAGGGGTGCAAGGGGGACCGGGTGGGACGCGTGCGGTTGAATTCGGTAGTAACAGACCGACTCGTCGAAGGTGACGTCCTGAGAGGACAGAACACGACGTGAGGCAGGGTGGTAGAGCTGCCAGGGTGGAGCGTCGGTGGGGAAGCCCAGGAAAACATAGCGGAGAGTGCAAGGAGAGAGCTTGCTCGCTTTGGTATCGCGAACAAGGGAGAGCGCGCCCCAGACCCGAAACGACGACACATCACCAGGCTGTCCCGTCCAACAAAGTGTGGGCGAGGTCTCTGGAGCAGAGACACGGGGCCGCAAACGGCCACAGGAAATAGGGAGCAGCCGCATGGATCATGGAGGTACGAGCAACCTCCATGATCAGGCCAATGCGACGCTCAGCGATCCCATTTTGCTGCGGAGAGGCCGGAAGCGTGAACGATTGGGCGATGCCCTCATCCTGGCAGAACGTCTTAAGGACGCCAGAAGAGAACTCACCTCCCCTGTCAGAGTGCAGACGCAGGAGTGGGAAGTCCTGCTGAAAGCGCTCGTGTAGCTGGAGACGAGTAGCACGGATCCAGGGGATCAAAACACCGCTGACGTCCCCCTTGCGACGCAAGGGGAAGACTGTGGTGTAGCGTGTGTAGTCGTCAACAACCAGCAGGAAGTAGCGCTCCTGGTTCGTCCCACCGACGGGGGCCGGGCCCCACATGTCCAGGTGGAGAGTCTGTAGAGGAGCAGTGGTCGGAGGAAACTCGGAGGAGTGAGGAGCGGTGCGCTGCCGCCCCTCGACGCAAGGAAGGCACGGCGGCGCAAGTGAGCGCGGGAGGGGGGGCAGGGTCTCAGGGAGGCCAGTGACCAGGAGCCGGGAGTGCATGCTGCGCAGACGCTGCAGGGAGGGGTGACCAAGACGATGGTGCCAGCGCTGAGTCTCGTGCGTGAGTACTCTGCACGAACAAGACGCAGCTAACTGCCCTGACGCAGACGCTCGACTCGACGCAGCTACCTGACCTGACTCAGCCACCTGTGCAGTCGCAGTGGTTAGTGTGTACAGACTAGACCCAGGCTGTCGAGTGAACGTAGCCAGGTGACGGCCAGTCCGGGAGAACGTACAGATCGCCACCCGCTGCCCTCCAGGAATAAAGGTATCAACCCAGACATCCTGAATGGCAGCGTTGCTTACCAAGTTCGTCGAGAACGTGGGGAAGTGGAGACCTGACAAAGAGGCGGAGGGGACTGCTGGACAAGGGAGGACCGTAGAGGCTCTAGCAACCACTGGGCCCCCAGATGGGTCAGCCAGTGAGACTGGGACATGTGCTGTGAGTGGTGTGACTGCGGTGCAATCACGGAAGAAGCAACGTGACGCGCCTGAGTCAAGCGTGAAAGTGTCAAGTCCTCAGCTGAGGCAGGACCTGTGGTAGTAGACGCACTAGCACCGAGAGCGTCGGTAGACTCACGAGCACCTAGAGCTGCAGCAGACTCACTAACACTTGGAGTGGCAGCAGACTCACTAACACCAAGAGCAGCGGTCCTAACAGAACGATAACCTCCACCACCAGGACGACCTCGCTGAATAACCCACTCACGAAGCTGCCGAGGGGTGGGGTCGTCCGGGAGAAGCAGTGCCCGCTGCTGTCCACCCCTGGCCGCAGCATCTGCCGCTGAAGTGGCCATGACAGACAGTGACTGTCAGGAGTAGGTCCAGCACCTCCAGCTCCTACAGCGCCAGCAGCACCTCCTGCACTCCTAGCAGCACCTCCTCCACTCCTAGTAGCACAAGTAGCAGCAGCAGCAGCAGTAGTAACAGCAGCAGGGCGGTTTGGTGGGGCTGAGAGGCCGCACCTCCACCACTCCCAGCAGTACTCCCTCCAGCAGCAGCAGTAGCAGGGCGGCTCGGGCAGCAGCAGCAGCAGCAGCAGTAGACCGAGTAGCACTTGCTGTAGCAGCAGTAGTTGCAGCAGCAGCAGCAGCAGCAGCGACAGCAAGGAGGAGCAGCTGCAGCAAGTAGCAGCAGCAGCAGCAGCAAGGAGGAGCAGCTGCAGCAAGTAGCAGTAGCAAGGAGGAGCAGCTGCAGCAAGTAGCAGCAGCAGCAGCAAGGAGGAGCAGCTCCAGCAAGTAGCAGCAGCAAGGAGGAGCAGCTGCAGCAAGTAGCAGCAGCAAGAGCAGGGAGGAGCAGCTGCAGCAAGTAGCAGCAGCAGCAGCAAGGAGGAGCAGCTGCAGCAAGTAGCAGCAGTAGCAGTGCCAGTAGTAGCAGCCATAGCAAGGGCAGTAGTAGCAGCAGCAGCAGTAGCACTAGCTGTAGCAGCAGTAGTTGCAGTAGCAGTGCCAGTAGTAGCAGCTGTAGCAAGGGCAGTAGTAGCAGCAGCAGCAGTAGCACTAGCTGTAGCAGCACTAGTTGAAGTAGCACTAGCAGTGACAGCTCAAGCTGGGCGGCGCGGCTCGGAGACAGTGGCAGAGCAGCAGCGGCACGTAGCAGTAGCAGCCGGCGCACAGCAGCAGTAGGCGCGTGCGGGCTGTGAGCTAGCAACCTAGGGGCGCGCAACAGGTGCGCGCGGAGCAGCTCAAAAGGAGCGCGCAGCAGGTGCGTGCTAGGGGCTGGCGGGCAGCGTGAGTGGCGCGCGCAGCAGCAGGAACGAGGGGGGAACGGGCGTAGGGGCTGACGGGCCGCGCGAGAGGCGCACGGGGCAGCTAGGGCGCGGTCAGGGGGGGTCGCACGTGATTAGGAAGAAAAATCGCGTCTAGGGCAGAAAAGGGAACCGTCTCGCCTAGGGCACGTTTTTGCATTTCGCGTTTCTCCTAGGGGCGCGACTCGGGCAGCAGATCGAAATAGTAGTGGTGGGCCCTTTTAAAAATTCGGTCCTAAGGAGCATTGTGCTCTTAATACCATGTTAGAATCACTAGCTAGGTGAGGAATGTCGATTAGGTAAGGGAGAGGGATACAAGACTATCGAGAGTGAAATGTTGTACCCTCTAAGGAAAGAACCATACAGAACCTAGAGTGAAATGAACAGAACAATATGTTTTGACAAATCCGTGGCTTGTATAGCATCTGTTGGATTGTACCGGCTAAGAGAACACGCGTTTTTTCGTGTTTCATGTCAAAGAATAGCATGGCCTGGTCTGGTGTTGCAATGGGGTTGTGTCATCTGTTAGGATGTCCGCCCGTTCGTCTGTATTTATTAACCAAGTTTGTCCGTGAAACAACGCTTTCCCTTGATGGACGAAAATGCTGATTTATCAGGATAACAAAAAAAAATAGGGGAAGATGTGATATGATAGTCGTATTTCATCCATGTTTATGCATCGTTTGACAAGAAGGATGTGATGTGGTAGTGTGATGTAGTTAGGATATAATCCAGAATGGTTCCAACACATTATCGAAGCAGTTCATCCAAGCTCTTCCCCGCATCCCTAAAAGCCACGTTGTTGGGCATGATGCTGTTTGCCGAAAAGCCGCGTCGCCCTGAACACCCCTGCATCCGAAACTCGATTTCCGTCGTGACGATCGAGGCTCGGCACCGCCATTGTGTGCTCGCCGCGCTGGCGGGAACGAGTGTCGTTAGCAAGTAGTATTGAACGCCACGTGGCCCGAGTTGAAGATTTTTTCTGAATCGGAGGCGACTCGTGAAGGCAGTGCGAGCACGGCGCGAGATTAATGGCCGATATGACTCATCTGGGGAGGCGGGAAGAGTGAGATAGGGGATGTGTCGTATTCTAAGTCAGCGTTCGTCTCCCAAGTGGCGGCGACCTGTGTCAGGTGGCGTTATTTGCGACCAATCCACCCCAGACACGCCAAACATGCCGTCGTTTGTCGGCGCGTGCGAGATGGCAGACAAGCGAACAGAAAGCGATGCCGCCGTGAGTGAAGGGCGCGCGCAAGAGAGTGGGTGTGGCGAGTGGGAGCCGCAACGCGGCACGCATCACGCCGTTTCATCCCTCCTCGGAAAGAATCGTTCCGACGATGATGCCAGCATAGTCATGGTGGCCCCTCGAGTCGGAGGCGACTCGAGGCCGCGTGCTAGATGGGAAAGCGATGCCGCAGCGGCTGCAGCGCGTGAAGGGCGATAGATGCCGCGCGGTGCGGCTAGTGGGAGCCGCAACGCACGCATCGCACCAGGCCCTTCATGTCCCGTCTCTTCTTAACCCCAGCGGCTTCCAGCTGCACGGTAATTCATCTCTTTTAACCCCAGCGGCTTCCAGCTGCACGGTAATTCATCTCTTTTAACCCCAGCGGCTTCCAGCTGCACGGTAATGCATCTCCCTCCTGGTTAATCCCCTTCTGCCCTTGCCTCTTGTCGCCCCACCTCTCCGTCGCCTTCCTCGGTTGCTTGCTTCGTCGCCCTCGCTCCTCGGTCCACGAAAAGCGCCTCGCTCGCACCTGGCAGCTCGCTGCTGCCTCTCAGCACTCTCCAGGTACGATGCGAAGAATTAGGAGGCTGAGTCAGACTCAACAGAAGTCACCTGCTGCCACTCGGCACTGTCCCGACAGGTGCGATGATGATGATGCTGCCACTCCCGTCCACTGGACTTCCAGATGCGATTTGCTGCTCCCCAGACCTGCCCACGCTAAACTCTTCGGTCTCCCCCTGCTGCTGCCCTTTAGGCCCACCCACTTTCGGCTCCTCTCCTGCTGCCATTCTTGACGTAAGCCAGTCTTGCCATCATAGGCTTCACATGCTTTATTCGGCTCTGCAGGTTGCCTTCGTTCTCGTTGCTATTCTATGCTGAAACGATCCGCGACACAACCCCACTAGCATCGCATGAGCGAAAGGATTGAAGGGATAGACTAGGATAGTCGTTGGTTGTGGTGTCTGTTGCTTGCCTGGTGCTTACTGTTCATCCCCGATCCAGCATCACAAGGTATCTCCACTACTTGTTTGTACGTGTCTTGCCATTGCCATGCTTGCACCTGTGCTCCCCGTGTGGCCTGTTGCAGCTACCAGGTGTTACAGGGGGATTGCAAGTCAACCATCCACTCATGCTACCTGCAAGTGGATTCTACTCGTATCTGCACTCCCTCGATGAAAGCAGCCAATTCCGTCGTGCATGCATGCTGAACATGAGACGGGCCAGACGAACTGGCCTCGGCTCGTCACGAGCCGTGCGGATTTGGCGTTTCACTGCCGGAGAGAAAAATTCGTCGTCTTTCCACATTGATGAGCCGAGCCGTCCGTTTGGATTGGACTGTTGCTCATGCCTATGCCCCACCATGCGTTCGCTTCACGCATGTGTTGTGCACACTCTCAGGTGAATGCCACTGCTGCGTGTCATGATGCCACCCGCCTTCCTCAGCTTCAGCCCCCCGGAAACACCTCCTCTGCTCAACATGCTCACTCTCTCACCATGCCCGTCCACCTCCTCTGCACTCTGGTAAGCCCCTGAAAAGCTGAGTTTTGCCTAAAGATTTTGAAAACACCAAGGGGCTGGTTTGTTTGCCAGTCGCTGGAAAGTGCTTATGTTTTTCAACTATGTAAATACTTCTATCAATAGACAATATAATTGTGTTCGTCTGCTTCCTGAAGTGCAGGCGTGTGTTGCCTACGTTGTATTGAATGCTCTGGTGGCGCTACTATGGAGTGTGGAAATATTGTATCCGCAAGCTAATTCCTGGATTCATGAGCAGAAATTTGCGGTGACGACCAGGCTGTGGGCGCTGATAACCCCATGGGTGTGCTTGCGTGCTTGTGTATCTCGTTTCGGTCCCTCAGCTCCTTACCTTTCCTCAAGCCTTAAATGTATATTCTCTCTCTTCCTGCTCCGCTTTCCTTGCCCTTTTCTCGTCCTCCTCTGTCCCAAACGCTTATTACTCATCCTGCCCTCTCTTCCTTCCCGATGCTCCCTCATCATCTCCCCCCTCACCACGTCTCAGGCCCATGAGATTCTCGACGAGGCAAGGTGAGAGTCTCATCATGTTGTTTTGTTTCTTTCCTTTTATAACATCATATAGAGCCTGTTCTTTTTTATTCCTCTATTCGCTTGGCTCATTCATTTTCTGCTGCCTCTTGTCAAGCATTTTCTAACTCACTCAGGATTTTCAAACGTTGAAACCATTCTACATATGATAATATCATGAGATGCGTTTTCTGCCTTTGTAGCTTGTAGCAGTCTCCTGCTTGTTCTCTCTCGACTTCTTGATTGATGTGCATGTGACTGCTGTCTTGTGCATTTGAGCATGGCAGGTTCACACTGTACAGCGTGTACGAAGCTCTTGGAATCACTCTGGGGCGGCTGGTGGGAGTGGATCAGTTTGGCGTGCAACTGGAGGGGCTGAGGGAGCAGCTGGAAGCAGCCAGGGGGGAGTTGGCTGCACACAAGAACCTGATTACAAGGCAAGCCCAGGAGCTGGCAGCAGCAAGGGGGGAAGTTGCTGAGCAGAGCAGTCGTATGCTCAAGGTTGACGGTGCCCTGGAGGAAGCATTGGTTTCACTTGCTCGGGGCGATTGGGGAAGCACACACACACTGAATGTAAGTTGAATTCGCTGGGATGGGAAAACGCACATGGTAGGAACGTGATCAAAGGGCATGCAGAGGAGTTGGCAGCAGCAAGGAGGGAGGTTGCTGAGCAGGCCAATCGGGTGCTCATGGTTGAAGGTGCCCTGGAGGAAGCATTGGTGTCGCTTGTGCGAGGCGAGTGGGGAAGCACACGCATGTTGGATGTAAGTTGTTACTGCTGGGATGCAAATATGCACATGTTACATGTACGCTATGGCTGAAATGGGAACAACCACATGTTGGATGTAAGCACCTCAAGGTGCGATGATTTTTCAGCATCTGATTATACCTTCGTGTTTGCCTTTGCTGTGGATTTTTCTGCAGGTCGTTTCGTCAGCCCTTCATGGGAGAACCAAAAGGTGTACGTCTCTCCAGCTGAAGAATCTCTCCAGCATTTCAGACACCGCCCTCCACGTTGTGTCTGCCATGACTCACCTGACATCAATCGATCTAGATAAGTCCTCTGGCTTCAGTGCAGAGGGCATGAAGCATCTCTACAAGCTGCCACGGCTGAAGCGGCGGTGTCTGACAGCGAGCAGCGAGCAGCCTTGGAAGTCTCTATCTCAGCTGCACCAAAGTGACAGACGCTGATCTGCAGCATTTGACAGGGCTCTCGCTCAAGACTCTGGAGCTTAATGGCTGCCACGGTGTCACAGCTGCTGGCATGGTGCATTTGGGGAGGCTGACAAGCCTTGAAAGTCTATTTCTGGGGAATTTAACCACGAATGGCGATGGTTTGGAGCACTTGTCGTCTCTCACGAATCTGAAGCTGCTTGTGTTGCCAGCAGGGGTTACGGGTAAGGTCATGGAGCATGTGAAGCACTTGACTGCCCTTCAGAAGTTGGATATGATGGGATGTAGAGTGGCTGATGGTGGGGTGCAGAGGTTGAGCAATCTGCCTTCTTTGACGCACATTAGGACAGATCAAAGAAGCTTGCAGCGATGGTTGAATGCTGCTCTTCCTGGAGTGTCTGTCAGTAGTGATTTTCTGCCTGGCACCGCTCCTGTAGGGTGAGCTTTGAAGCCTAGTTATGCTCATTGTATTGTTGTGTGGTACATTGTATTGTGGAACCGTGCATTGAATGGCACTGTAATTCCCTGGATTTACCACCAATCCAAGTCAGAATGCAGAATGGATGTGCTAACACCGAGGATATAAAGCAGGGCCTCAGATTCGTTTGGGGGTACACTGAGGCCTCAGGGCAGTTTTTAGGAAATCAGAATTTGCCCTGAATTGTCAGGGCTGCACAGGGTGAGGTATCCTGAAATGCCAGTGCTACATTTGAAAATACAATTATATATTAGTGATAACTTTCGTGACAGGTGAAGTGTGGTAGCGGGCAAAGCGACAATGCCTTTCGGTAGAGGTCTCCAGCTCGACTCCAATTGGTTTCTGTGTTTGCGGTATTCGCGCTTAGTACTTTTGGCCCCGAAACCTAGGATATTTTTCGTACAGTACATCTCGCTTCAGAGCGAGATTCGACACTATCCTGACTCATCAGGGATGAACCTACAGCCTTATCCTGAGTTTCCAGTACGCAAAATAACCGTTATACTGAAATTACAGGACAATTATTCCTGTTATGCTGTTTTTCCAGGACTAGCACACGACACCTATCCTGAATTCAGGAGAATCAGGATAAATTATCCTGATAACTGAGGCCCTGATAAAGCTACGGTATCACCAAGAATGATGATTTTGTGCATTCTTGATTGGTAGAAGCCTCAACAGGTTTGACAGGCGAAGGTACTGGCATACGCTTGTGTGCCAGCTTTATATTGAGATGCCTAACAGGCTTTATATTGAGATGCAGTCTACCAAACATCCAAACAGATGAGCTAAACCTCATTACAAATGGCGACCGTGGTGGAACACAACTACAGTATGCCAGTCTTACCGTATTCTCCCGGACAAAACACCCCCCCGTAATTGTACACCCCCGGGTAGCTTGTGCGGGATGGGTGTTATGATAGACCTCATTTCTACTATACCCCCCTTTTTGGCTGATTTTCTATAACACCCCCCTTTTTTTTACGCATTCGTTATTACAGTCGTTAACGAGTGCTGATATAACCAAGGATTCAGTGGATAGGATAGAATCTGTTAAGTCTGAGAGGAGACAATGAAGTCTCTGTAGTGATCTTGTTGAGTAATAATTGAAAGAGAACAAGATGATTGAAAGATAGGAGTACAAGAGATTAAATAGAAATCTAGCTAGCCATGTACTCTGAGGGGTACATTCCCTTATTAACTGTATTTCATAGCTACAGTAACCGTGACTATTGCTATCCTCGACAGTTACCATGTTGCAATGAATTAACTGTCGCGCGGTTACTGGATTGTCAAGGGTCACGACCGTTGACTTCCTCAGACGGTTGACCTTCGGGTGACCCTCGACATTCCGCATGCTCTATATGAGCTATTGCGGTACTGGTACAGTGGAACAGCTTCGGGAATGCTTTATATAACCTTTCGGTTATTCCAACACTCCCCTTCATTCCTGAAGGTGGGCCACGTGGTATTTCTTGGTGATCCCGCAGAGGTCGGCGCAGCGTTGGTACTACTGACGTGGCAGCTTCTTCGTCAGGAAATCAGCTGCCATGTCACCAGTCGGGCAGTACGTCAGCTTGACTTTCCCTTTGTCGATTTCATCCTTCACGAAGAAGTAGCAAAGGGCGATGTGCTTGGTGCGGTTGACGAAGCCGGGCTTGTTCGCGATCTTTATCGCGCTCTGATTGTCGCAGAGTAACGTGAAGTGCCCGTTCATCGTCACTTTCGCTTCTTGCAGGAGCTTCACCAGGTACAGTCCTTCGCGAACAGCTGCGCTAGCTGCGATGAATTCTGCTTCTGCTGACGAGAGAGCGATAAGTTCCTGCTTCTGAGAGTTCCAGGAGATGAGTCCGGCAGGTTGGAGTTGAAAAATGAATCCTGTGCGGGAGCGTCTGTTGTCAACATCTCCAGCGTGGTCGGCATCTACGTAGCCATGGAGCTGTAGAGTAGCGGTGAGGCTAGCTTCGTAGGTGAGACCGACGTCGGAAGTGGAGATGAAGTACTGTAGTGCTCGGCGTAGATCCAGTAGATTCTCCCCTTCAGGTCGCTTCAGGTACTGTGCGAGCTGGCTTGCGACGTAGGAGAGATCGGGCCGGCACGTGACGGCGGCGAACAGGAGACATCCCAGCTGCTGCTGATAGAGGCGATGGTTGTCGGGAGAGAGCGGTGTGGTGTCTGGCTCGTGGTTAGGAGGAGGAGTGCGATAGGGGGTAGTGAGATTGATTGGTGCGATGGAGAAGCGCTTCGCGAGTGTTTCGGCGTACTTGGCGGCGGAGAGGTGAATGGAGGAGGCGGACTGAGTCACATTGAGGCCGAGAAACTGGGTGACGTTGTGGTTGATTGTCACCTCCAGTTTCTCTTTGATGTCAGCCTCAAACTGGTCCAGCAGCTCCGTGTCGTCGCCGGTGTAGAGAAGATCGTCGAGGAGTACGAATTTCCCGCGCGATTCCCGCCTGTGCATTCCGAGGTCGTGCGGCAGCTGAGTGAAGCCGAGCTCAAGGAGGACGGAATGGAGGTACTGCTGCCATAGACGAGGCGCCTGCTTGATTCCGTAGAGGGATTTTTGGAGGAGGCACACGGCGCCGTCATTTTTTTCGAATGCGTGCGGCTGCTCGACGAAGATGATGGCATCGACGGGAGCGTAGAGGAAGGCGCTGCCGACGTCGATTTGCCGGAGCGGTCGCTGTTTGACGGCGGCGATGCAGATGAGAATGCGTACCGAGGTGTGGCGGCCGACTGGAGCGTAGGTGAGAGTGAAATCCACCAGGTGTGTTTGCTCAAATCCCCGCACTACCCAACGCGCCTTGTACTTGTCGACCGAGCCATCTACGAGAGTTTTGATACGAAAAACCCTTTTGCCGCTGAGAATTTTTCTCCCCTTTGCCGATGACCGAGGGACCAACTTCCAGGTGCCACGTTTCTTCAGCGATGCGATTTCGGCGGCCATGGCTGCTTTCCATTTTCCACTGTCGGGGCCAGATAGGGCTTGGCGGACGGTGGTTGGTTCCTTGGGCGAGGTGCAGCGAACAGCGACGGCGAGGCCGAGAACGCGGAGACCGGTTTCGTCAGTCTTTTCGTAGTGAAGTCGGTCATAGTCGTGGAAGCTGGTAACTTCGACCACGTCGTCATCGCTGTCGTTGCCGAGGCGGAGGGTATCCTGCGACATGTTGGGTTGTGGTAACTCGGCATTAGGTGAACGGCGCGCCTCACTGTTGTAGTCATGAGCCGCGCGAGTTGTATCGTTAGGATCGGGTTGGTGTAGAGGTACGAATATCGGAGTCCCGAATTGGCTTGTGAGGGGGATGCTCGGAGCGGAGTCCATTGGGGTGACATCAGGTGCGTCTGCATCCTCGGCTAGGTCAGCTTCGTCGTGTGACGTGGCGAAGCTGCGGTGGCCCTCGAAGAGCCTCTCGGGAAGTTTGTCGGCTTCCTGGTGCTCCTTAAAAAGGGGCAGAGACAGCTTCTCGTAGAAGATGCAGTCACGTGATTTCGTCACCTCGTGTGTCGCGTAGTCCAGCACGATCCACGCCTTGAATTCCTTCTCGATCCCGAGGTGAATGCCCCATCGTGCCCGGTCAGCAAATTTTCCGGTTCTCGCAGTGTGGGGTCTGTACTGTACCATGCAGCCAAACACCCGAAGCAGGCGTGTATCTGCTTTTCTGTCCGTCCATGCCCGGTAGGGAGAGTTGTTGTTCTCGAGGCTTCGCGAGGACAGCAAGTTGTGCAGCCGAACAGCGTGATTCATCGCAAACGGCCAATATTTTGTTGGGATGGCCGACTGCTTCATCAGGGCCCTCATCCGCGTGGCGAGGCTTCTGTTTGTCCGTTCTGCTACTCCTTGCTGTTGGTGAGCGTAGGGCAGGGACACCAGGTGCTCAATCCCCTTCTGCTTGAGGAGCTCCTTGAACTCGTCTGAGAAGAACTCCAGGGCTCCGTCCGTCTGCCAGGTTTTGAGTTTGAGACCGGACTGTCGCTCAGCCCGCTTCATCCACGCAATGAAGCACTCGAAGGCCAGAGACCTGCTGTCGGTGTTGACGGCCCAGACGTAGCGAGTAGATGCGTCGATGAAGGTAAGTGTGTACTGCTCCCCGTCGAGCCCCTCCTGGCTGAGCACCATAAAGTCGCTGTAAACCTTGTCCAGCGGATTGTAGCGTTCATACCCTGGGGGCAAATCGGGGAACGGCTGGTGATTGAGCGACGCGGTTGGGCAGACGATGCATGGCGGGTTAGGTGAGTCCGCGGTGAGGGAACCGTTTCGAGGAAGGAGGAGCGCGTCGTTGTCGAAGACTCCGGCTTTGAGCGAGTTTTTGAGCGTGGCGTGGGAGGGATGGCCGAGCCGTTGGTGCCATGTTTCTGGGTCCGCACGGTAACCGACTATCTTTTGATAATATTTTTGTCGCGCTGCTTCGTCGTTTGCCTCCCCTTCAGGTCCTGCGTCGGTGGCGGAGTCGGTGTCGGCGGCGAGCGCGCGAATTGCTTTTCGCTCCAGAAGCACGCGGGGAATACCGATGATGTCGTCGGTGTCGCCGGCTTCGACTTGGTCTCCGGTAACGAGCAGGCATTGGTTGGGCCATTCCCGAACTGGGAGTCCCTTCACGGGGATTCTGAAGTAACTGTATTCAGCGCCGATGACCTCAATTTCTTGTGGTCCTTGTACTGGCGGCTTCGGCTCCTCGGTAGGTTTGGGTAACTCTGTTGGTTCTCCCATAAATTCGTAGGCTTCTTCTTCTTCTGACTCTTTTGCCATTTGCTCGGGTGTGTCAGGGGCGTATTGATCTGGGAGAGATGGACCTCCCCAGCAGGTGCCGCGAGTTGCCCAGTATGGGTCGACGACGGCAACTTCCGCAGGAGGGAAACCAGCTGCTTCCGCGTGCCCTTGTTCTGCTTCGGCCGTGGTGTCCCATCCTCTTCTGGCGCCCCATGTGTCTTCAGCGGTCTCTGCTTCTCCAACTGCTTCTCCTGCTGTTGCGCCAACTTCCTCTGCTGGAGCTGCGCCCCTCCCACTTGCGGCTGCTTCTTCTGGAGTTAGTACTTCTCCCCAAGGTCCGAGCGCGGGCTTGGAAGTGTTCCAGCCCGGCCAGTGTGTCTCCGCTGTCTTGTTTTCCTCGGTTGGTTGAGTTGCAGGTCCTGACGTGCCGCTGTCTTCTTCCATTGTGGCAGGTCCGGTTTCTGCAAGGTTGGAGGTCGAGGCAGTCGGGACAGTGCGCAAGCGTAGAAGGCCGTCGGAGGCTGGTCGCTAGAGGTCCATCTCGTCGGGATGTGACCATGTTGGTGGCTCCGTGGGAGTTGTTTTCAGTAGCAGTGTGCGGTGGGAGTCGCCGGTGGTGCCCTGAGCCGAAAATTGCAGCACGAAGACTCCATCATCATCGATCGCCTTTCCGATGTAAGTTTCGTTGTGGAAGAGCTCGAAGGTCTTTTCCTTCCGATTGCTGCGAATGTCGATTCCGCACCGCATGAGTTGAGCTGATGAGAGTAAGTTGTATTGTAGGTCAGAGGCGACGAGAACATCCCCGATGTGAATGATGAACTTCGTGTCATTGGCCTCGAGGTAGATTTCGCCAATCTCATATGCCTTCATTTTTCCGTTGTTGGCGGCGGTGATTTCGCAGGGTCGTCGCATGCGTCGAGAGTTGCTGATGAACTTTGGCGACCCCACCATGTGTTGTCCGCAGCAACTGTCGAGGTACCACGTGTCCAGATCCTCGTAGCGCTGGCGGGCGAGGTTGGCAATCTTGGGCGTGACGATGCGATCAAGGTCGCCGGTGTACGGTGAGAGGGCGAAATGTCTGTTTGCGGAAATGCTCGGCGGCGATTCCGGAGTAGGGGGAGGTGTCAGAATCCCAACCACTAGACCATTGGGATAAAAGGGCTTGTTAAGTAGCGGGTCAGTGCGCCCATAACCCCCCAGGACAACGAGCCTGTAACCCTTCCCTAGGATCAATCGGGGATCACCAGTGGACCTCTGACACCCCCCCGCACTGGGATGCCCGAAGTGCACACACTGGGATTCGAACCCGAGACCTTCGCTCTGACACCATGTCAGAATCCCAACCACTAGACCATTGGGATAAAAGGGCTTGTTAAGTAGCGGGTCAGTGCGCCCATAACCCCCCAGGACAACGAGCCTGTAACCCTTCCCTAGGATCAATCGGGGATCACCAGTGGACCTCTGACAGGAGGGAGCTTGAAGTCAGGAGGAATGTCTGAGGGGCGAGAGGACCAGGTAAAAGCTGTTGGGTCATTGTCTGGACTGGGCGCAACGGGGTTGATGGGATTGTCGCGAGTGAATGTTACTCGATCCCAGTAACGGGACCCTCTATTGCGTCGAGCCATGCAGCTTATGATTGTTCCTTTTCCTTTGTCCTTCGCCGTGATGAGTGCAGGGGATTGTGAAGTGCTGGCGACGGAAGGAGGCGACACAGTGGTGGAGGACTTTGTCTGCGTCGATGGTTGTTGGTTGGAGGCGTTGCGCCGCTCGTCAGCGGCCTGACGCTTGTAGCACTGGTCGATAGAGTGGCCAGACTTCTTGCAGTATTTGCAGAAAGCTCCCTTCTTTCCGCGTTGTTCCCCTTGTGATGCTCCTGTGTAGAAGACTAATTTCTCCCGTTTAACATTCTTCTCGTTGTACAGGTCGATTTCCTTTTGCTCCGAAAGAAGCGTGGCGCACAGAGCTGACTCTGATATGGTTGCTCGGGCGCGAAGGAGTGACTGGCATTGTCGCCAGTCGGGGCCGAGGCCAGAGATGACCATCGAGATGAACATGTCGTCGGGGACAGTCCCACCGCATTTCTTGACTTGGTCACGCAGATTGCGGCACCGGTTGACATACGGTCCCGCTTTCTCCCCTTGCTTCATTTTAACCGAAGTCAGTGGGCTGAGTAGACGGCTCATCGTAACTGGATCTGTTGCCATGTATGAGTTGCGCAGGTGTTCCCAGGAGGCTTGCGCGGGAGCCCACTCCGTCTTATAAGGGCGAATGCCGAGCTGCTCTTCAGGTGAGAGATTGCGAAGGAGAGCGGTGTACACGAGGAGGGATTCGTGGTAGTATTGATGCTTCTCCCGGATGGTACCTTCCGAGGGAAAAGGTAGGCTTCCGTCGTAGTACATCTAGATTTGAGCGGTTGTCGCGAGAAGCTCGAATTCGAAACTCCACGTGTAGAAATCCTTTTCGTAGAAAGGAATTGAGGTCTTCAATTTTGAAGTCAATACAAATTTGGTTTGCATTGAGGCAATGTCTGACTGTGAGCGCTGTGGGTTGTCTTGTGCAGGAGCTGACCCTTGACGATTGTCGAAGGTGAAGGATCTCTCGGAGTTGACGCGGCGGTCTTCTCCAGGGAGAGGAAGTCCAGCAACGCCACGTGCATAGCTTGAGCCGTCAACGCTCATTGCTTGATGGCTTTCAAGGGCGTTGATGCGTGCAACTAGCTCCTCAACGACAGCGGCGCTGACGGAGGTCACCGCTGATGGCGCGTTAGTCGTTGCTGGTGGTGGGCCCGGTGAGTCTGCAGTAGCTTTTCCTTCAGGAGCCATAGTATTGCAGACTTTGAGGTGTAATGAATAACTTTATAAAGGGATTGTTCTCAGAAGAACGAGGACTTGACAGATCGTATAATCCACTCTAGCTCTCATACCATGCCGATATAACCAAGGATCCAGTGGATAGGAGATCTAAGTCTGAGAGGAGACAATGAAGTCTCTGTAGTGACCTTGTTGAGTAATAATTGAAAGAGAACAAGATGATTGAAAGATAGGAGTACAAGAGATTAAATAGAAATCTAGCTAGCCATGTACTCTGAGGGGTACATTCCCTTATTAACTGTATTGCATAGCTACAGTAACCGTGACTATTGCTATCCTCGACAGTTACCATGTTGCAGTGAATTAACTGTCGCGCGGTTACTGGATTGTCAAGGGTCACGACCGTTGACTTCCTCAGACGGTTGACCTTCGGGTGACCCTCGACATTCCGCATGCTCTATATGAGCTATTGCGGTACTGGTACAGTGGAACAGCTTCGGGAATGCTTTATATAACCTTTCGGTTATTCCAACAACGAGCAGCTGCAATACGGAAGAATATCGCGAAAATTTCTCCCTAGATGAAATTTCGCGGTACATTCACTTACAATCTACCGAGATTTCCCCCCTCCCACTACTTCGCAGTCGCCACGTGCAGGCGAATCTTCCGCTGCAAGTGGCAAGAGAGGTGCCACATGGCATTTTCGTAGGGGTGATGAAGTTCGTGGCCGAAACTCACATTCGCGCCTCAGACAGTGATGTTAAAATGAAAATCAAAACACCCACATTGTCTAATCAAATAAACACTAACACTAAAATATACCATATGTAAAGACCCGGGTATTATGTATTTTTTTCCTATGAGGAGACTCCCCCCATTTTTTCCCTGTATTTTTAGCTATGCCCTAGGGTGTTATGTCCGGGAGAATACGGTACAAATGCAGGCCAGACACTGGTTGCAGGCTTCAATCGCGGGGGCACGCAGATCTCAATGGGACCACCATTGCTGCCACCGACAGTCCCCGCACACGGGCGGTTGTACTTCTCATACAGCTCCGTGCTTCCCCCAAATGCCCTGCCGATCACACTGCTGCATGACGCCGATGCCTTGAACAGCCGTGGTCTTCCCTTGGTACAGCTTCCGTAATCATCATGTTGCGTCGCCTTTGTGCATATCTCGGGCCAACGAGCCTGCACATTGCGCATGGTCGCATGTGAATGAGAAGCACGATCTGACCAAGACACTTGAAAATGGGAAAAAAACATACCGTATTGTACAATGGATCAAACCATGCACCCTGATATAATGGAGTTGCGGAGTGACAGCATCGCATGCTCAATCACTCAAACCGGCAATGCTCCATGCAGCAAGCCTCCTGCGACTCACCTCCCGGCCAGCATTCACTGAGCTGTAGCACACGAGCCCTGGGTTCAGCCGGTAGAGCTCCAGCAAGGATACCAGCTGACGGTCCCCCACCACCGCAGTGCAGCTGCTCGTGCAGCTGACCGAGTAGAGTGAATTGCAACGCTGCTCCCCAGTCCCCACCTTCCCATCGTCCCGCTCAATGCAGAGGGAGCGGGAGGGATTGAGGGGCGAGGAGCAGACGGAGCCGGGGTTGAGGAGCGGCAGGGAGGAGGAAGAGAGGCCGAGAGAGGCTGCCACTGACTCGCATGTGTCGCCCTGCATTGAGAGAGTGGGGAATCGGGGGGAGGAGAGGGGGGAGGGGAGGGAGTGCGTGGTGGTGGGATGGGAGGGATTAAGAAAGTCAGCTGGAAGTTGACATGTGATACAGAAGAGCAGCAAGTTTGCGGAGTACCAAAAGCCAAGAAGAACAAGGAGTGGGTGCGTGAATCCAAGGAGTACCAGAAAAACCCAGAGAGCATCCATCAGAAAAAGCATCAATATAGGAAAGAACCACGAAGAACTGATGCGAGAGATGATGAGAAAGTCACAACCGAGATGCAGAAATATCAGCCAGACCTGCTAGCACAGAGCTGATGAGAGAATGCAAGGAAGGCGAGTTACCGGTTGAATGAAGTAGAAGACAGAGCATGAGGCCAGGTCGTCCCTTTCAGTCACGTTCAGTGTTTGACCCCGGGTGAGGGCAGCAGAGCAGTCCACGCCCTGCCAGCCAGCACACGCACACACAGCAAGGCGAGCGGCATTGACGGTATAAGAGAAACTCACACTGCAACGAACTATTTGTAAAACCCTCACATTGTTCTGTGCAGTAAAATCGTCCTGAGTGAGTCCAAAAGAGGATACTCGTCCTCACACCTCCAGTTGTCCCCTTGCACCTTCAGCGTTGATGAAGGCTCCAAATATCCTGCGCAAAAACAAAGCCAACAAGAAAGACCAAAAACACCCTTGCATTTAGAACAGTTTTGAAAACCCCCACTTGCCCTTAATGCACCATTGTGGTCAAAAGGAAAAAAAAAGGAAAGTGGAGGTGCTGGGTTCCGTCCTTTGATAGATCCAATGTCCCTCACACACGGTGACGAGAATGTGCCAGAACAGAAGGGCAGTCTGTGTGGCAAGCGCTTGAAATGAGAGGGGCAGCGAGCTTACGGTATTTACAGGTGGGGTATCCGTTGGTTCTGGTGTCTGGGACATGCAAGGGCGGGCAGACACAGGAGTAGGAGCCGGGGCCACCGCTGATGCAGGAGCCTGACTTGCAGGGGTTGCGAGTGCTGTTGCCACACACATCGGCTGGTAAGGGTGGTGGGGGGAGGACACGATTCTATCATTGCATTGAGGTGTTTCAGAAGTGGCGCCCGTAATGCAGGGGCCTCCGACTGCTGTTGCCACACACACACACCCGCTAGGGGGGGAAGCGGGGAGGGAAAGACAACAGGCACGTCGAAGTGGGGGTGGCAAGCATATGGTTGTGTGAGAGGGGATGGCCTAGTGTGGAGGGGAATGTGGCAAGGTGCAGGCAATCAGGCGCAGTGGATGCAACTTAGCTTGGAATACCCAGGCTTGCACAACACAAAGAACAACACTTACGCAGTCCAATTTGAGCATGCTTACGGTCGGTTGGCGAGGGTGTGGGTTCAGGAGGAGGATAATACTCTTGGGAGTATGCATGAGCCGTCCGTGCTTCGAATGTCGCCCTCACAGACACACGCCACTCCCCTGCAGTCCGACGTTGCGGCTTGCTAACACAAGTGGCATCTAGATGCTAAAAAGAAGGCTCTGTATGCTTACTGTCTGTTGGTGAGGGTGCGGGCTCAGGAGCAGTATAATACTCCTCATCGACCGTGCATGAGCCGTCCGTGCTTTGGGTGTCGCCCTCGCAGACACACGCCACTCCCCTGCGGTCCGTGGTTGCAGCACATGAGAAGTTGGTGGGGCACACTGCGTGCCTGCAGATGTCCTCTGGAGCACCGGGAGGAGGGAAGGGGGGTGGGGGGAGTTTTGAGTTGGAACAAGAGGCCCACTACCCTGCGGTGCGTGGTTGCAGCGGCGCATGAGAAGTTGGTGGGGCACACTGCGTGCCTGCAGATGTCCTCTGGAGCACCAGCAGTGAGCGGTGGGTACAGGGGAGAGGGAGATGGGCGGGGAGAAGATTGGGGTGGGGGAGGGGGGATAAGGAATGTTGAGTTGGAAAGGACAGAAGGGGTGCATTGCACTCCACTCCCTGTGGCCCGAGGTTGCGGCGCACACCACGTGTCCGCACATGTGCTCTGGAGACCCGGCAGTGAGGGGGTGGAGAAGAAACGGAATGGAGGAATGGCTGGAGGGAGCAGTGGAACAAAAACAAGGAGAGAGAGCAGCAGGAGCGAGTACAGAAGGAGTGAGAGCAGCAGGAGCGCAGCACACCTATGATGCAGCGGACGGACTTGGCTGCCTTGGCAATCGTCTTCGCCCTGCTCACAGGCACAGACGGGACACGCCCCAAGGCATCAGTCAGGTGGCAGTGGAAGATCAACCCGCGGGCGATGCAGGGAAGCAGAGACGCACGCAGGGAAGCAGGGAAGCAGGCAAGCAGGGAAGCAGGCGCGAAAGGCTCACCCGTGACTGCCGCGCACCAGAGTGTCCAGTGCCCTTTGTTTTCACCCGGGCTTGGAGAAGAACTGGATCTTGGAGCAATCAGCATCGTCATGTGGGCGCGTCCATGCCACCTGCACCTTCTGCCTCCCGCGGGCGCTCTTGGCCGGAATGTCGACGCAGCGCAGCGAGCTGAAGGTGATCGCATGGCCGTTGATGCTCACCCGCGTGCCCACCTGCAGCTGCGCGTCCGGGTTCGGGTCTCTGGCTGCTCCTGTCGTAGTAGGGTTGGAGAACATGGAGCATCGGGAAGTACTCACTTGGGAGCCCACCTTCAGTCGCGCATTCATTGATGCGTCCCTGGCTGCTCCTGTAATGAGGATGGGAGCATGTGAGCATGGGATGGGAGCATGGGAGAACGTTAGAGCACTGAATCCTGTGAGCATGGAGCAGGAGAGGATGTGAGAGCATGGCGTGTAGGAGCAAGGAGCATGGGAGCAAGGAGCATGGGAGCAAGGAGTATGGGAGCAAGGAGCATGGGAGCATCTGAGAATCGGAGAGATGCGTTTAAGCGGCTAGGCAGCATTGAATCGAGAAGTATGTGATCATGACAGCACGGGAGCATGTAAGAGCACCAGCTTATGTGATGCATGAGCACGAGAGCAAGGGAGAATGGGAGTATGGCGCATGTGAGCATGGAGGAGCATATCAGAGCATGTAATAGCATGATGGAATCGTGTGAGATGAGCACGAGAGAAAGAAAGCGTGGGAACATGTGAGAATGGGAGAGCATGTGAGCGGCAGAAGGGAAGAATGGGATCATGATGGGAGCACGGAGCATGGGGCAAAAAGCGTGTGGGAGCGGGAGCGTGGGAGCAAGGCACAGGCGCAAGGAGCAAAGGTCGCAAGGAGCAGAGGCGCACTGGCGACGACCTCGACGGTGAGGAGCAGCGCAATCAGCGCAATCACGGCATGAGCACTCCCGCCGCCCGCCATTGCGCCGTGAAGCCGGCGGCCACGTGCATCAGGGGAAGAAGATCGACGGGGCGCTGTTATGGTCGGGACTCGCCGGGCAGGTGATGCGAGCAGAGGGGTTTGCGGGGTCGATTACGATGGACTGTTAAAGATTTTGGAGTCGCGGACGGTTTCAAAAAGCTGGAAAGAGCACGGAGGCTACTATGATCAAGCGACGGAGAAGGACGAAATTATAACGCCTCGCTACCACTGGGTCAAAACGAGGGTGTTGAGGCGCAGCGGATGCACTCGACCCTACCAAGCGTTACCATTGCGTCGTCGTCTATGAAGGTCGTGGCAGGTTTCGACATGGTGGAATAAGAGCGGCTTCAACGAACGAGAACGAGACGTGAATGGATCAATTGAGATAACCATGGCTGACGGGAGTTGTGAATGGTCTCGGGCGTTTTCAATGTTCCAATAACACTGCTGGTTTACTTCTGGTACGTCGAAGCGAAATCGAGAAGTTCTCCCAAGGAAACTTGTCGCAAATCTTGTTCCACTTTTGTTATTGATTCGCTCGAGGCTTTATGGTAACGGCTGCGAAGTAGTTCACTTTTCCAGCGATCCTGGGACTGACCTAAAAAGCGACCCGCGCAGAGAATTTGAGGTGGTTACACCGTGGATCACATGCGAGCTGACGAAACGAGGACCGCCGAATGAGCCTTGGATTTGGATATCTCACCACCAGAAACTAATCTTGGTGCAGCCAGCTGTCGTTGTGACAAAGCATTATCCAATCAAGCTTCCCTCATAGGCCACGAGAGCTCACCGCACCAATCGGCGAAGTGGTTCACTTGTGTAGCGACTCTAGGACTGAAGTCAAAAGCGACGCGCGCGCTGACTTCGAGGTGGCTTACAATGGAATGGAAGACACCGCGAGGATCTGACGAAACGAGGACCACCTTACCATAGATTTCACTACCCTGAACTAATATCGATGTCGACAGGTGTAGAACCATCATGCAAACGGGCCTCTCCCATAGGTTAGACAGCCACGGGAGCTCATCGCACCAATAGTAGCGTCCGCAATCTCGAAACTCGAGTCCGCGGAGTAGCGCACGGCAGGCAGCGGGCGCAGTGATGGGTGCGCGGAGGGCTGGCGCAAGGCGAGAGAAGAAAGCCGATGGGATCCCTATGGGAGTCGCAAAGACCCGAAAGTGCATACGTGTTCCAAATGGCTGGAATCGGAGGTGATGAAAACGCAATGAACGGCGAGGATGATGGGTGCAGCTGAAGAGAGGCGAGGCAAAGAATGAGGCTGGTGATTTATTGGATAAGGTTTTGCGAGGAAGGCTCGAGTTCTGAAATTTCTCCGCCCACATCCTCCATCCAAAGTAAAGCTCAATCAACTTATTCACCCGACGTCCGGGCTGCTGTGTATTGCGTCCCGTGGTGAAGCGCCTTGGCCTCGACGGGCAGTTTGCTGCTCCCATCTGGCACCTGGCACCTCCACACGCAGTGAGTTGCGACGTCCATCCGTGTCTACCTCTGACCATGAGCATTACTACTCTACTCTCCCATGCATCTCGCCTCACGTCCATCTTTTATGCTTCTCTTGCTGTCATACTGACTTTTGAGTTTCTCCTCCTTCTGCACCACGTCATATACATGCACCAGCGAAGTGCATACATTCATGCCATGCATCCTTTGTTATTTCGTACACCCTTCCCCATCATATGTATGCAGTGAAGTGAACGAACACACATCCCGTTCCTTCCCGCACCACCCCTGCATGCACGTTTCTTTCAAGCAACATGGATCGGATGGTGATGGGGGCGGCATGGCTGCTATCAATCATTCTGACTGCAGCTGTGACTTCGTTCATGATCAATCCCTTCAAAGACTGTCGTTCCTCCATAATCAACAGCAAGAACATGGTATGGCAATGAATATCGGTATCCTCTTACCTTTTTTAAGCATGCAATATGCTGCTCTCATCACATCGTGTATGCACTCAGTGTGCTCCATGCATGCTTCTTGAATTGCTTGCTCAATTGTCCATGCATGCCTATGCACCAATTGCTTGTACCCCTAAAGCCTTTTGTTCTGTTTGTTTTCAAATTTCTCAGATTCAGCATCCCCAGTCACTCATCACGCCCTTTCACGTGCTCTACGCTTGGGTATGTCAGTAAGAATAGGGAATTAGCCTAACCTTCTCAGCATGACTCGTCACACCACACGCCATGTCACCTGTCTGTTGCCACTGCTTGCCAGCTGCACCCGTCTTATACAAATTGTGCTCGTTTTTTCCACCGTGTTAATCCACTCACAGGCTCACATCCTGTATTCAGTTGTGGCCCCGCTGACACTACTCCTCTGGTGGATGGGCATTTCTCTCGCACAAGCCAGAGCGTGGCTGCATCAGCATTCCTTGGCACCAAAGGATGGGCTGAAGAGGCTTGTAGCTTCAACCACATCATTCATGGTACAGCACTCTCAACAACTCTTGCAATCCCATCCCTTGCTCAACAGTCCCTTCTCATAACCTCAATCTTGTGCTTCTGTCATTCCATCTTGCTCTTCACTCATCCTGTTCTTTCTTCCGCCTCCCACGTCTTTCCAGTCGATGGTGACAGGGGAAGCATTGAAAAGAGAATTGGCGGATGTCAAGAGTGAGCTAGCAGCAGCGAAGAAGGATTTTGCTGAACACAGAGAGCCTGGCTTGAAGCTGGAAGAGTCACTCACACACTGCAGCCAGGAAGCACTGAAATTGGAACTGGCAGCAGTCAAGACTGATTTAGCGACAACAAAGAGAGAGGTGGCTGAACACAGTGAGCGCATATTGGAGCTTGAGAGTTCCCTGGAGCGCTTTGGGGAAGAAAGCAAACACACATTGGTGAGTTCAATTGCTTTTTCTGCCTCTACGTTTCCACAGCTGCAATCTGGTATGCAGGTATATGGTTATATGGCTACTCATTATGTCAAATCGCAAGCTCTGCATCAGGTTTCACTATTGTGTTTACCCTTTCCAGGCAATTTTGTCAGCATGGAGTGGAGAGACATCAACCAGGACCACACTGGAGATGAAGAACCTCACTTGCATCTCAGACACTGTCCTCCGCCACGTGTCTGCCATGACTCACCTGACCTCCATCCATCTGGACAAGTCCTCTGGCTAAAGTGCGGAGGGCGTGAAGCACCTCTACAAGCTGCCTCGGCTGGAGTGGCTCTCATTCAGACGGACGTCTTTGTCTGACAGTCATCTGGAGGGCATTGGGGCACTGAGCTGCCTTGGGTCTCTCATTCTCGGCGAAACGAAAGTGACGGACGCTGGTCTGCAGCTGTTGGCAGGGCTCTCACTCAAGACCCTGGAGCTTAATAACTGCTCGGGTGTGACATGTGCTGGCATGGTGCATGTGGGTAGGTTGATAGGCCTTGAGGGCCTATATTTGCAGACTCCAGGGGTGAAAGATGATGCCTTGCAGCACTTGTCATCCCTCACCAACCTGAAGCTGCTGCTACTGCCAAATGGGGCTACAGATGCCGGCATGAAGCATGTGAGGCACTTGACTGCCCTGCAGAGATTGGATATGAATGAATCTGCGGTGACTGAATATGGGTTGAAGTGGCTGAAGAGCCTGCCTTCTCTGACGCACGTCAGAACAAAGCAGGAGAGGCTGCAGGGACGGTTGAAGGTCATTCTTCCTGAAGTGACAGTGAGCAGTGATTTCCTGCCCGGTACGGCACCACCATCCTGATCACATACACAGTGTGAGCTTTGGAACCCCAGGGTAGTACAGGGTATCACCAAAATTGGATGCTTTGATAAGAATAACAGATTGGATGTCTTGAAATGTGCGGTAGTAATTGATGTGTGAGTTGTCTGATCTACTACCGTATCTGCTAAAATGAGCAAGTGGTACCGTATGTTAGCCACTGTGATAGCCATTAGCTTAGTACAACTCGTGAGTGCAGCAACAATTCCACAGCCATCCTCGGTGTGGTAAGGAGTCAAGCATGAAACAAAATGTGATTACCGTGTAAGGCGAGAGAAAGATGGGGGCAGCAAGGAGGTGAATGAAATGGAGCACTTCAAGCAGAAGGCCACATTATGAATAAGAATTGCAGCTCACTCAGAGAAACTCCTCTCTGCTGCAGCAACTACAGCACCTGGGGGCTAAAGATGAGAATGACCAGATTTAGTCAGCAGCTCGTGGATGTGCCACCTGGTCACGCATAGGCATGGCAAGTTGTCAATTACCCCACCACACCCTTCATGCCCCCTGCCTCTGAAACATATGTCCCACCCCCCTCCTCCTCCTCCACCTCCCCTCCTTCCTGC